AATTAAGTGGAACAGATGATGATGAAAGAACACCAACTAGGTATGCAACTCAACCTGAACAATTTCAAATTCCAATAGGAACAAGGCAAAGACATCCCAGAACAGGCAATTCACAACACGAACGACCTGAAAGGTCAACCGAGCCTGCTCGGACAACTGAGCTCGAAGAGAGAACTAGAGTTCTCGAAATGGCAATGGGTAAAATCCTTGCCCGTTTGATCCTTGATGACCCCCTAATTCCTTTACTGAATAGGGATGCACAGCCAGCTGAAGTAGTTGCAACTCGTAACTCTCCTGCTCTGAGCAATGTAATAGTGTTGACCAAACTAAGGGAAAGTGGGAAGTTAAATAACGAGCCTAGCTCGTCCAAACATAGTGAAGAACTAATGAGAAAGAATGCAGACCTCGAAAGGCAGCTACAGGATGTACAAAAATCCATTGACGAGCTGAAAAGCCCCAGGTCGCACCAACAGACCCTAGACTTGGATAGTGTCCCACTTAACCTATCTATCACAGCAGAGCCGTATCAAGAGAGATTCAAAATACCCCATCTATAGACATATGATGGCTCGGGCGACCTAGATGAGCATCTTCATACCTATTAAGCCATCATGAGAATCCAAAATGCCAATGACGCCATGATGTGCAAAGTGTTTCCAGCGACACTGAAGTCAACAACTAGAAGAGGGTATCATAAACTCCCCCGACACTCTATAGACTCATACTCCTAGCTCGCCAAGCTATTCTCCATTTAGTTTGCGAGCCAAAGAGAGATTAAACGCACAACGACCAAACTGATGCAGGTTCATCAGAAAGAAAGGGAATCTCTGAGGGACTACATGCAACAATTTAACAAGGCTACTTTAGACATTGATAACGTCCCCGATACCATCTGCTTGTCTGCCTTGCTGCATGGTTTGAAGCGTGGTCGGTTCCTAGACGACCTACTAGAAAACCCACCGAAGACGTGGAACGAAGTAAATGACAGGTCGGCTAGCTTCATATTGTCAGAAGATTTCCAATCGTCCAAGCGACGAGCTGATGATAAACAAAGCAAAAGCCACGAACAACCACCGAGAAGAGAGGAAAAGAAAAAGCAGAAAGTCAACGAGCAGTGGGGGAAGCCAGCTGACTTCCCAAAGTATGCCAACTACATTCCTTTAACCTCTCCAAGATCTCAAATCCTAGCACAAATCCAGCACTGGATTAGAAAACCACCCCCCCCATTGCATGATTCCCCAAGAGTAGATAAGAGCAAGCATTGTGACTATCATCTGCATATGGCCACAATACAGAAGATTGCCAACACTTAAAGGACGAGCTGGAATTCTTGGCTCACAATGGAAAGTTAGAAGGATATGTCCAGAAGCCTTATGCCCAGCAACCAACTCAAACCCACTTTGTGTAGGGGTATGACCGACCTCAGGGGCAGAGGTATCAGCTCAGCAGTACACAGGATGTGTATCAAGACAACCAATATCCTTCTAAGCAAGGCAAAGCGTACAGGGGCCGTCAGTTCAATAGGCGAGGCCAAGGACAGAGAACTGCCACACAGAACCAAAAAGACAGGAAAGGGGTAGGCTATGCCGGGATACCCCTGACCTTTGGCACAATAAACATGATCTCGGGTGGTATATACTCAGGAGGCCAAAGCGCTCGGGGCCACAAAGCATATGCCTTCCAGGTGATGACTGTTAATAAGAATAGGCCTTTAAGCAGCCATTCGAGGAGGCGAAATGGGAAAATGTGCCCATTACATTTAGTGCAATAGATTATAAGCGAGCAGACGGTGAGCCTGACGTTATGATGCCTCATGCAGATCCTTTTGTGGCAACGATACATATAGGCAATCATAATGTCAACAAGGTCTTCATTGACATTGGTAATTCGCCAGATATCTTATATTAGAGCTGCTTTCAGAAGATGCAGCTGAATCCGAGCGCACTGCAAAAGTATAAAGGGCCCATATACAAGTTCAATAATCAACCCGTCCCGGTTGAGGGAGTCATCACTCTTCCAATCTATGTGGGCTCGGAACAACGCTTCAGGATGGCTTCTGTTAGCTTTCTGGTCATCAAGATGGAATCAGCTTTCAACGCCATACTAGGAAGAGCCACCCTCTACGGGCTAAAAGCTGTCATCTCACAACCTCATCTTTGTATGAAATTCCCAACTCCTCAGGGGGTAGGAGTGCTCAGGGGAAACCAAAAGATGGCCAGAGCCTATTATCAAGACACATTCAAGAAGGTTGAGCTCGCTGCAGCCCCGAAAAGCTCTTCTGAAAGTTGCAGGCCAACCCAGCTCGGTCAGCAGACAATGAGCATATCAGATATTGAGCACCGACCTAAGGGTGTTGAGCAGAAGGCAGAGCCAGTAGAACTAGTAGAAACGGTCCCTTTGAACCCTGACATTCCAGAAAGAACAATTAAGGTGGGCACCAAGCTCATAACAGAAGAACGAGCAGAGCTTCTGGTTAAGGGTTAATCAAGATGTGTTTGCGTGGATTACGGATGAAATGCCTAGCATTCCAGCAGAGTTGACAGTCCACAAGCTCAGCATGGGCCCCACCAAAAGGCCGGTGGTTCAGAAACGTCACCTTTTTGGCCCTGAGAAGCAAGCTGCTATAGATGAAGAGATACAAAAGCTACTACAGGCAGGCTTCATCAGGAGAGTTGAATACTCTGAGTAGGTGTTCAACCCTGTGCTCGTCAAAAAACCAAACGGCAAGTGGAGGATGTGTATTGATTTCACCAACTTAAATGAGGCGTATGCAAAAGACCCTCATCCCTTGCCAAATGTTGAGAAATTAGTAGAACGAGCAGCAGGACATGCGGGAATGAGTTTCCTCGACGCCAACCTGGGTTATCACCAGGTTCAGCTGCTGTTGGACAACCAGGAGAAAACAGCTTTTTATGCTGGTGACGCAATCTACTACTATGTCATGATACCATTTGGCCTGAAAAATGCTGGCGCGACATATCAGAAGCTAGTGCAGATCGTTTTTAAGCTCCAGATTGGCAGGAACATTGAAGTATATGTGAACGACATGATTGTCACGAGTAAGCGAGCTGAGGATCACATAACCGACCTGAACGAAACATTTCAAAATTTGCGTCGAGCCCAAATGAAGCTGAACCCCCTAAAATGCACATTTGCTGTGGAATCAAGAAAATTCCTAGGGTACGTGGTATCCAAGAAAGGGATTGAGGTAAATCCAGAGAAGGTTCAAGCTGTTCAGCAGATGGAGCCACCCAAGACTGTAAAAGACGTGCAGCGTCTAACAGGTCGTGTTGCTGTGCTGCATAGGTTCATAGCCAGGTTGGCAGAAAGGTGCCTCCCGTTCTTTAAAGTGTTGCGAGAGCCCAAGAACTTTCAATCGACCGATGAGTGTCAGCAGGCGTTTGACGAGCTCAAACAATATCTGGCCTCAGTACCCTTGCTGTCCAAGCCTGTGGAGGGGGAGAGTTTATACCTGTATTTGGGGGTTGTAGAGGAAGCCGTGAGCTCGATTTTGCTTAGGGAAGAGAATAAACATTGGTTAAGTCCCCGATTCAGTCCCTCAACTTTCATTTTTGGACTAAAACTACCCTCGAACTTCAAAAAGTACTAAAAATATCCTTGAACTTTAATTTTTGAAGCCAATTTTGTCATTCCATCAGTTAAGTGCTGACATGGCAAAATTTTTCGTTAACAAATTCAATTTTTATTAATATTAAATATTACTTGGAAATAAAACAAGTGATGTGGCATTTTTAATTATAAAAATATTGTGATTTGACACTAAAAATATAATTTAATAAATAAAAAAAATTTTCTTTCTTTTTTTCTTTCCTTTCCTTTTTTT